TCGACACAAATTGCAACTGCACACGTGTGAAATTGAACTCTCTGCCATTTACGTTATCATACACAATTTATACTATCATTTATTTATACAAATAATCATTTCCAGTGAATTTTTTTTTAGTAAATATATGAATTCTGCCGGAAAATTTATTACTCGTGTCATATATTATATAAGAATAATATATGTAAATATTATGTTATCGCAATAACTCATTTCGTCACATCTGAAGTTTTAATTTTATGCATTTTTATTAGATTTAGATCGACAGGCGAGCGTGCCTCCCAATTTTTATTTATTGGTTATTTCGGTGTATTTTAACGGTCAACAAAATACGGTATCTTATATAAAAATGATAAGTGCCCCCCATATAATAAGAAAAAAAAAAAAAAAAAAAAATGGCTACGGTACTGTATAATATAATGTAATGACCAATTACAATAACTGTACAAATTTAATTTAACCGCCAATTATACATTACAGATTATATGTTTTTGGTTTACGCTATTTCATGTATGTATTTGGAGATGATGAGTGAATCTCGGTCGACCCGTTGTGGTCTTGGCGTACTTGAAATCGTGATAATATTTGTTCATATTAATACGTTTTTCCGATTTGGCGATTTCTGAGGCCCATAACCAATCGGCCGTTAGTAACGGTCGGGCGTACACTCGGAAAACGCTAATATTGCTGTTATTATATAGATTTTTTATGCAGCTGCGGGCATACATTGGGACAAACCCGACAATACACTGCTAGGTTTCAACGTAGAAAGTATATGTAAATCTGTAATATTATATTCTATTACCATGTTTACGGTAGAATATCACATAGAGGTATACAATGTATTTTTTGAATCGTAACGTAATTATTTAGATTTCAGCGATATTATTAATCGTGTATTCAGAATTTTATTTTGTTATTCCGTCAATGATGTCATATTGTCGATGTATTCGAAATATCATTACAACAGTTCGTTTATAATAACATATCTATATCATTTAAAAATTCGTTATTAACATTATATTCACATTGTTATTTTACAAAATATTTATTTGATATACTATCAATATTTATTTAATAATATCATTTTTTTTTTTTTTTTTTTAATGAAAAATTAATATTAATGTAATATTATCATTACGAATATGCTATCTGGGTATTAGTAAAATATTATGATTTTTTTTTTCTGTGGACAACTTTTCTACAGGAAATTTCGCTCAGATTTACAATGATAGCACTTTTTCTAAAAGGAAATCTGGCTGGGGAGGTATTTTAAAGAGGTCATTTTTCGATTTTCCGGAAAGAAAAACGGGAAAGTCGGTACAGTATTGAAAAAAAATAGTATTAAAGAAAATATCCATGTTTAATACCTATTTAATTATTTTACCATAATATGACATACATAATATTATTGACAAAGCATCACTGTCAACTGAACTCGGCTCAAAATCGTTATTTCGTTAGCAATGGTTCATCGTTGCTTACAGATGTACGTTCAATTCTCCTCTGTTTCCTATCTTCCCAATTTCCCACCTACGGTGGTGGCTGCACCCGTCTCCATTATCCTAGCACTGCTTTTTTTTCATATCGGGTATACATATTATACATACTCGAAGTCTTCAGCGAAATAAACATCATTTCAAAATGTATCGTTAAATGACTCGGCGTATCGGCATTAAAACGTATCTCGTTGAAAAAAAATCTACATGACGCGTATGTGTGTCGTATAAAATTCGAAATTACCGCGAATCAATCCGGGGTGCCGATAACGCGTTCACCGTCGGTAATGTGAAACTGAAATTGTAAACTAGTGCAGGATGTATTCGAAAATTATTAATTTATTACGATAAAATATTGTTCTACGCGTGTGTGACAGTGCGCGCGTTCCGAGAGAACGATCAAAGGACATGCACGCGTCATCGTTATGGAAACATCACAGTGGTGCGAACGAAAAAAAAAAAAAATGTAATATTTTTTTATGTTTTGTTTGTGAATGCGAGAAAACCGCCCAATGGCAGCAAGGATCGCAGGGACTTATGCCTGCAGGGAAAAGTCGAACGACGCACGTTTGCACGGAGTAGGTACACGCATTTATTTAATGAAAAGTCATCTTGCGGCGCTAAAATAAATAATGGCCGCCGTCGCCGGTGACCCGAGTTGTGCGCGACACCGGATTTTAAAGCATTTCGTTTTGGATTCTGAACGCGGCCAGGAATATTACGTAATGGTTTTATGACTATATAGATTGCGCTATATTTTTTTTTTTTATTATTTGTTTGTTGGTCCATAGGCCCTCCTTTTTTTTTCACCGAAAATCGTGTTTCAAACGTCAATTCCGGGGATGGTTTCGGTTAGCAAATATGGGTTGTCTAGCCGTTGCGTCGCAAGGACGTCATTTTTCAATTTTTCTCGAAGTTTCGACGACAATTAGGAAAAAACTTTGTGAACCGAGAATATTTACTTTATAATGACGGTACCTTAATAATAGTACGTTTTCATAAACATTCCGATGACTCAAGTTTTTTAGCCGTAGAAAAAATATCACTTTTCCATCTCAAACAATCGTATAATTTATTGCCGTTTGGTTCGAGTAAATCAAAAAATTGTTTAGCCGTGCCATAATACAGATATAGTAAAAAGCGGTCGTCTTTAATGTTTTCGCAGCGAGTATAAAATAGTTCTGAAATCGTTGAAAATTTTACTTTTATTTTAATAATACGGACTAGACTCGGGGATAACACAAGAAATACGTGAATTATGTTATTCGTTTAGATATCACCCGCCGTGAAGTCGTGAAGACTTGTTAATGGTAAAGTGGATGGCCCTGTTCGCCAATCTTAGGTTAATTTCAGAGTTCCACGTTTCTGTGCCGGATACTATTTTCCTTTTAGCCAATTTGTAATTTATCTAACTAATCGCCCAATTGTCCTTATGACGAAACTGGCCAACGAGGACCCACTGTTCCTTAGTTCCAAGCGTGTAATCTTAAATACTGTAAATTTACTTGTTAATTATTATGTGATTTTCCGCAATATTATTGGGCTCGCTCCGTTTAAAATAGAAAATAAAATAAAATATCACAATAGAAACGCAATATAGAGAATGATTATGTTGCACGACTAAACGGGACGAACCCGACGGGTATAGGTAAATAGCAAAACAAACGGACAAGCTTTGTTGAACGATGGATGGACCACCGTTGTAGGTGAAAAGTTTGGAAGGTAGAGGGGGAATGCAATGTATATCTGTGCGCGAAGATTGTTCATTGCTAACGGAAAACGATTCCGAGCGGAGTTCGGTTATAAATGTTTCGAAAGGCCGTGATGTTTACGATTTGAAAACAACACGTTTCAAACGGGTTTTCCCGGCTGTCCCCCGTCCGTTATGAAAACCGCGGCCGACGGTGCCCGGGCGAACGGCGCGTCGATTGATTTCCGTAATGCGAAATTGGCGCGTTCGACAGTCGTGTCCGAGACCGATAAACACCCGCGGTCCGGTGGTGGGCACCGTCCGAAATCGCCGCCGCGCGCGGCGACCGCCCGGGTGCTGAACGAACCGGCGCGCGCGGCAGGGCGAGAGTCGCGCGGACGCCACTCCGGGAAACGGGACGACGGAGCGAAAATATTATAACGACGACGGCCCATCCGAAATGAAACAATACGTATGTACGTATGGAAGATGTGTTTTCGCGTACGTGCCCGAAAACGCGACGACGGCGAACAATAATAACAACATAATAATAATTATCGTCGTATCGTTGAGCGTGCGTGTGTATACACTATACAGGTATACAGCGATAACGATAGTAATACTCGTATTTTTTTTTTTGCGTCTGATCCGGACGGGGCCAGCCGTCGCAGTTGGCTCGTTAAACGCGGGGTCTCTCGAAATTACGGTCGCCCTAAGCGTTCGCGGGGGCACGCTGGCCGCGGGCCGCCATCGGACCCGGCGGCGGGGCGGGAGGGCACCAATTACCGGCGTACGGAGGATTTCGCGGGTTTTGTCACGATCTCGCGGGAGCGGCGGCGGGGCGGTCGAAGGGTAACGGAGGGGAGCCGGGATCCGCGGAGGTGGGTGGGTCGGTGGAGGGCTGCGAGTGGGGTGGGCGCCGTTTTCCGATCCAATTATCGGCCGCACCGCCGTCGATTCCGTTTTACCCGGTACCGCGTTGAATAATCTATTACACGCCGCACAGTGTTGCGCGGGCACGGTATAAATATTACGATAGCTGTTACGCGACCCCGTACATTAGTGTGTTGTTAAATTTCCGCGTCGTTGTCGCGGCCATCGCCGCGTCCCGTGTCCCCGGATAGATCTCACAATTGCGTCCATTATTTCACGTTTGAAAACACATTTGTTACACGTTAACGTACTGTGGGTTATTAATCGAAGTTCACGGTCTCCAAGAATTAAATGCGGACATTTAAAAATTTTAAACGAGCGTTTCGATTATTGTGGACGGGCGTCACGTGCCCCGGCCCGGCTGCCCTTACCCCGGACGATGGACGGGCAGCGCTATCTGTTGTTGTCTGTAATTGTTGTACCGTTAACAGTTAACCGAACAGTATCCGTTAGGTTAGATATTATGGATTTGTAAGTTTCATCGTGTAAACAACATGTTGGTTTTATATAAATCGCAGTTTATGTTCGACGACACTCCGGTAAGAACTCGATTTCCGAAAACCGAAAACGTTTATACAATGAAAAAAAAAACAAAAAACAAATTCTATCATTTACTTTGCCGGTACATATTGCTATCAGTTATTAAATATGAATCGCCGGTTTCAAAACCGTACACATTACGTATTAAATATTTACGAGTTATGCATGACGACCTTGAGTACAAATGTTGAAATTTCTCTAACTGCATTGGCTCCACAGATGGTGAGCGTATATCTACTATTCGATGTCCATCAGACTCAGGATCTAGTTGTTTCAATTATATAAGTAACGCCACTATAGTGTTCTTCAAGCAGTAGTTGACGCCAACGCAAAAACGTATGTCCATTGACGTTGGTGATTTTGGTCGTAACAGTGACGGAGGAATTTTAAGAGAATCGAATTTTGGAAAACTATTAGATTATAATAAATTACTTTTGCCTTCGCCGAGAAAAATGCATGGAAATGTTGAAGACGAATTTGAATTTGTATTTGTCGGGTATGACGCGTATCCGTTAAAAAAAAATTTGATGCGGTCATTTGCAAGAAAACAATTGACAAATCCGAAGCGAATTTATAACCATCGCCAATCACGTGCGGGAAGAATAGTAGCAGAGTGTGCTTTCGGTATATTAACAAAAAGATTTAACGTATTTGAAAATAAAATGTTAGTTAATCCGGAGAATTATACAATTATGACTCAAGCTGCTTATGTAGTTAATAATTTAACCGTGGACAAAGAACATAATATTTGATTGGCATTCATAATGAAGTGGAAACCTCATCACGAGTATACCAAGAAGATATCAACAAACCTACAAATCGCAGATCACCAAGAGGGGCCATCGGTATTTGTGAAAAGTTTATGAAATATTTCAACTCGGAAATAAGATCGGTTCCGTTAAAAATATCCAAATTAAATCTATTCGTTTTAATAAAATAAATACTATGCTGTTGTACAAAGTTGTAAACATTTATTAATAATTATAAAATGTTTGTACACAGATATTTATGAAATTCCATTTTCCAGATTTCTCTGTATAGTTTATTTTTAACTTAACTTTTTCAACTCTTGTACAATAATACAATTTTGGACTTTATATGTAATAATTATTAGTTTAATAGACTAACACTGTTTTTCTCTATTGGTGTGCGGCCGGCCTAATACAATTGGTTGTAAGGCCCGTACCACTTGGAAGGACTTTACGTCCTTCTATAAAATCTATGAATTTTCATATCTGTTTATACCGAAAAACACAATATCGTGCCAATTGAAAGTTCTGAAAAAAATTCTAAAGTCTTCTTATTTTCGTTTAACATCTTCTCCGCCTTTTTCTATTTTTAATGTCCAATTTCCGTGTGTCTATATGAGGATGCCAGATTTTAAGGTCTAAATAACCTTTTTTACCGAATTTTTATGTTAAAATGATGATAAAAAAAATATCATGATATTGGTTACTCGTGGAAAGTTCTTTTTCGGAATATTAAAAGTGTTCAGTGATATTAAATTTGATTATCAAGCGATTTGTAAAATTACATTGGCAAAAGGACCTTTATTGTGTCAATACAATACGAAATTCATGTTTTTTGTCAGTATCTTTTTTGATAATTATTTATAAATGACTTAATGCAATTTGTTTATGGTAAATTATTATAGAATTAACTTGATCGGACTTTTTCTCGAATAAAATTAATTCGGCCGATTATCATAAAACGGGTTATTATCAACATATGCATACGGCTACATTTATTTCCCTTCCCTATAGTATTATAATCTACCGGTCTAAATTTTAAACTATTATAAGTTGAAAATTGCATATCCGATATGTATGTTATGTACATCAGCATATTTAAAAAAAAAAACATTATTTTTCCGAATACGTGTTGAAATGAGAGAGAGGGTTTAACCGTTTGACAATAGAAAGTTCATGCACGTTTAAAATATACAGATTGGCTGGGGATGAAATTGGAAAACAGAGTTAAAATAAATCGTAACAATTCCATAAATAAAATTGAAAAAAAAAAACACAGAAATCAAATTTACCTGAAATTCTTCGAGAAAATCAATGGATCGTGGTTTTCCTGTGTTTATAGTTTGGGCAACAAAAAAGGTAAAAAAATGGTACGAAGTTTTGTAAAAATTAAAACGTAAAATGTATTATACCTACGTCAAAATGTCGAATAGGATTCAACATTTTATTTCCATTTGAATATAACAATGGTCCTCAACTTTTTTTAACACTACGGATCATTTAGAAAACTTTTAATAGGTCTCGGACCTATTAATGATACAAATGTTTATAAAAGGAAATTTCACTAGGGAGGTACTTTAAAGAGGTAATTTTTTGATTTTCTCAGGACTATCCCCAGCAAATGTGAAAAACCGGGAAAAACGTAGGAAAATCGGTACAATATTAAACAAAAATTAAAGAAAATATAAAAAGCCTTTTAAATTATTTTACCATAATATGGCATATATATATTGTTGACAAAGCATCAATATCAATTGTACTATGCTCAGAATCGTTTTTTTGTAAGCAATTGTTTATTGTTGCTAACAAGTAAACATAAAAATATCTATAACAGTCGTTGCATCTATCTTCATTATCCTAGGACGACTTTTTTTTAAATATTGATTATTTTACATTTTTTATGACCCCCAACCCCGAATTTTTTTTGTGTACGTGCCTGATTCTATATACCATAATAGTCTGGGAAATCTATTAAATATGTCTTTGAGTTTTTGTAGATGATGGTTTAAAACGTTGTGCTGGACCTGAATCATGAGGTCAGACGGTTTCGACAACCACTATGGCTTTCCGTGAAATTATTTTTTCAATTTTGTAGGCATGGCTCGGGGACCATCACACAATCAATGGTTCGTGGACCACCGGCGGTCCATATAGATTAAAAAGCCATAAATATAATTTGGTATAGAATATTAAAATAATTTTTGTGAAAATTATATTTTCAAATAAATCGATAAAAACGGTTTCCAAAATACCCGGTGGTGGACGTTTCCTCGGCGACCGGAAATATACTTTCTAAATGTGGGACGTTTTTTTTTTTTTTTTAGTTGTTTTTACGTTGTTTTTTATTATCATTATTATTTCGCGTTTTACTTAAACGCTCTTATACAATGCTATAATAATATAACGCGATTGACAGTACCTTATACCCGCTATAGTATGGTGAATAATAAAACGTCCCGTTAAATTTCGATAATTACGTCGGACGCGCGGAAAACTGACGGTATGAGCAATACGATTATGATGTTGTAAATTATTCTTATTAATATTATTATTATTTATAACGGATAAGCGACGGTAAATACTTTGGTGATAAACGAAATTGACGAGTAACTGCTGCGTAACCCTTTTCAAAAAAAAAAAAATAAAAAATAAACTGTACATAATTGAACGCTGTCGGAAAGTAATTACAGAGACGGATCGGACAGGAGCGACATTGGCAATTTATTGACGCTGCACCCTTCCGAAAAACGTTTTCCCGTGTACAACGGTCGCCGGTTCGACGCACGGAGAGTTTGTGTCATGACGCCCGCGCGCGTGGAAAAATAGACGCTTCGCGAACCGTTTAACGATTCGCTATTTTAACCCGGTATGCGATTTTTTCGCTTATAGGAATGCCTAGTGTTCATAATGACAGAAAATTTGGAAAAATACGCGAAAAAATCGGTTTTTTTTTTTCATCGGGTCCGTGAAAAATTGGAAAAAAAGGGAAAATTTGATGAAAAAAAAAAAAAAAAGGTCCTTTAGGATATTAATAATTGATGATACGTAAAGAACACACACATATAAGAAACACGCGAGGCGGGTTTTGGCAATGAACCAGTAGATTTATATTCATTATCAGTGATGATTTTGGTTAATGGTTAGATTTTAGATTCGCGAAGACGATACGTTTGTGGTTATTAAAAGTAATATCAATTGATAATCAAAAGAAAGTACCGGCTAGATATCTAATCGTTACTGTTTATCAATAACCAAACATCATAAACCGTTTATTTCGTTTGGCTATGATATTTCATTAGCCTATAACCAAGAGTTATAACCAATAATGTAATAACTAAAATCGCTAAAACGACTTGCTATTATAAAATACGATTTAGAAATACCTATATACTTAATATTTTAAAATACTATTTAAAATTCGAGAAAAACAGGTAAGTAGATTGTTCATAGTTAGTATTACGGTTGCATCCGAAAACCGTACAAATATGATTTCAACTTCGAAACAGACAATTATTATATACATGTATTGTTGAAATAATTAAAATGCAAAAATAATTTACCTTCAACCAAAGAAAAAATAAAAAAATAGTTTATTTATATCACTGTTTTCACAGGATCATATTTATCATATATTTTTTTTATCAACAACTCATATTATAATGAAAATAAAATAATTATACATTAACCACGTTTTTTCGATCGGGGAATAATTCTAAACAGCTGTTTTAAAAACTTACTTTTTTTATTATTTCCTTAAAATCTGACCACGTTTACATTTTGCCCCATGACCCCGTTTTGCCCCACGTTTCCCTGCATTATCAATACTCAAATTACTTTTAAAATAATCTGGAAAATAATTCGGATATACTCTTCATAAAAACTTGGAAATCAATTCGGATATACTCTTCGGAACGACCCGAGAACTAATTCGGACGTTGCGGATACAATTTGAATATTGTCATTGATATGACCCGGATCTGTTAAATAAGTTGCCTAATTTTTATCCCTTAGAAAATAATCTAATAGGTATTGCTGATACACGAATTTACCGTTCAATATATTTATTTAAGATTTCGCCGGGTTTTCTGACATTCAAAGTGTTACCAGACAAGATTTTGACACAAATCCGTCATATTTTTTTCAAATTTAAAACAGCTATAATCTCAGTATTAAATAAAGATGTATTGCATTTGTTGATGCAGTTTATGTATACATTTTTTATTATATAACGTGTATTATATAGACCTGTGAGTATAAAAAGAAAATATTCAACACCTTTCGACATTTTATGGTACATTAATACAATTTATGTAATAACCGTGGTTGATTTTACATTTTCTTTTAATAGTTATAGGCTTGCAAATCAACCTTACTTTCAAATTGAAAAAAAAATTTGCACGATGGGATAGATCATAGATGAAGGTAATCATTGCTTACGAAAAACCATTTTGAGTGGAGCTCCGTTAATATTATTGCTTTTTTAAAAACATAAATTATTTAATATAATTAAAGTAAAATAAATATATACCGATGAAATAATTCGTATGGACCAGTAGCTAGATTTGTTCCACATCATTTTTTACTAAAATCATTTTCGTCAAATTTTATATTAAAATTCGTATAAAAAAACTCCAAGAAACTCAATATTTTTTAGTTTTGATCGCAAAGTACGTTTTTTAATGAACTTTATGTTCAATTTTCAGGCATTTCTGTTTAATCTAACAATTTTACCACAAAGTACCAATCGAATAATAATTACGTACGAAACTCACAAAATTAAAATGTCTAAAAAATTGCTCAAAAGTAACAAAAATGTTTGAAAAATTTTTCCACATCTAGAAAAGTCAAATATAAGTATTAAGTCCAAATTGGAAGTCCCTACGAAAATTTTTAACTAAATAACAATAAATAACAAAGTTGAAAGTAAAAAAAAATCACACTTTTCAAAAATTTCTCATTTTTCTTTCGGTTATTACGGATTTCCCCAGATATTATGAAAACCG